TAGTATACAGGCAACTCTGCTGCAGAGGGTTGGGCAATGACAGCCTTGTCAGATGGTGATAGATCATCTTTGAGCATCTTACAATGCTGTGACTGCCCAACACTCCATCAATGGTACTAATGGCCATTGATCAATGGACATGACAATCTGCATGTTAATGACTTTTTAGGATTTCTTAACCTGGAAAATTGAGTACGCATCAAGACAGCATCCTGGTTCTGGGTCAGTTTCGACCCAGTATTTTGAGTTTGTTTTGGTTTATTTTGCATGTTGGAGTGTTTTGGGGTTGTCTGGTGTTTTGATTATTTGTGATATTACTGTGATTCTGGTTTAGGGCTTTTGTTCGCAGGTTTTGTGTGAGTTTAGTTCTGTGTCCTGTCTGCGTCCTTGTGTAGTGATCTCTTGTTTCCTGTTTTATTGTGAAGGTCTGCGTCTCATGTGATTGTGTTCAGCTTTACCTCTGTCTCATCTTGTTGATTGCTCCCACCTGTGTGTAATCTCCCTGTGTTTCTCTGTGTGTATTTAAGTTGCGTCTTCTGTCTTTGTAGTTGCTGGTCCGTCTGTGTAACCACCCTGCTTCATCTGTGTGTTTCCCTGCTGTCAACCATCATCTGCTTCTGCTCGCTCTCATTCATGTTCGTGTTCAGTAGTTTAGTTGTCCCAGTATAGTTAGTTTATCTTCGTTTGCCTTTTTCTCCCCGTGCTTGGTTTTCAATAAATCACATTCACACCTTTACGACTGCCTGCTATTGGATCCTCCTTCATCATCTCCACGCGGCTCACTCCACTCGCCGTGACAGCAACCTATGTATATATTTTATTTTAGAAAACATAGTTTAGAATTCAACTTTATTGTCATTGCACATTGTTTTTTCATGCTGGTCAAATTCAACAGTAAGATACTGTCACTACACTAACATCTTCGATCGTAAAAATGATGATGATTTTTGATGCTAAGACATGTTTCACACCTTCAACACACACACATATGCAGACATGTGTGCATTTAGAGGAGATAAATGCGCAACAAAATTTTGAGAGGAGAGAAAGATAGGAAGTGTTAAATGAAAACCGCTTACAGATTGCAAGGTGATGCATAAAACAGGAAAACTGCCCCCCTTAAAACGATTACATTTTACTTGACTTCTATGCGTCATGCACGCTCTGAGGAAGTTTCTGCTCTTCTCTTCTTCTCTAGGCTATGACATGCCTTATAAAAAAATGCAAGATTTCAAAATATGTTGTGAAAATATTCTCTCTCAAATTTTCTACATTTCTTCTTGGGCACTAGGAAGTGAAATAAATAAATAATAAATAAATAAATCTCTAATATGTGTACTTACTGCACTATGTGTCCATTTTTGAAGTTCATCTCAAACTTCTAGAAGCAACTACACATTCAAATGTAATATACTAGCAGGAAATAACAGGAAAGAGGCTTGATAGAGAGAACATACTGTAGTAATGTTAAAAGACTTATTGAATCAACTGTCACTGTTGCACTTTTCTGTTGCACTGTTGTGTCTGCACCCTCTTGCGTCTTCTGTTCTGTCTGGTGTTGCACTGTCTTTCTTTGTTTTTTGTGCAATTTTTGCACACTTTCACTTTATGTAGTGCTCTGTTGATTCTCTGTTATGTATTATATGATTATATGTAGCACCATGGTCTTGGAGGAACGTTGTCTCACTTCACTGTGTACTGCACCACCGCACATGGTTGAAATCACAATAAAGCCACTAGATTTGACTTGAAAACTGTTGCCATCTGCTAGATATGAGAAGAGGAATCGTGTAGTAAGACTTGTATAAATTTGTAGTGTTTTTATAAATATATGGATTTAGTATTTAAAAACACTGTGTACAGTGAGAGTATTTCTATACATACTTTTTTGACAACACTTATTTGATGTTTTCATGTATTTTAACAGTGGCATACTGTAGAAACACTACTTTAACATCTGACATGTGACTGTGAAGGTGTAGCTGGAAAAAGTGGTTTCAATGACTCACAGTTTTTCACAGGTTTTGGTGCTCTTTGGTGTTTCACACCTTTGCTTGGTTTTACGAAATATATATATATATATATATATATATTGATATAAATTAAAAATTCATTACATTTATAATTCATTACATTTAAACTAATTTCAATTAGTTAATTAGTTAGTTCAAGTTCATTTAAGAGAAAAAATAAAGAAATCACATGTTTAGTGGAGATAGATGATTGATGTGGGAGGAGTGACTGATAGGAAGTGTTGATGAAAGCCACAGAAACATTGCAAGGTGATGCATAAAGCAGACAAACTGCCCCCCTAAACAACGACATTTTACTTGACTTCCACGCATCATGCACGCTCTACAGAAGTGTCTTCTATTCACAGCTGTGACATGCCTCATACAAAATGGTAAGATTGCAAAATATTTTTTCTTAAAGTTATGGAAAAACTATATTTCTCTCAGTTTTTCTTCATTTATTTTCAGCACTGGGAAGTGAAATCATAAATGGCAAAAAGGCTGAGGAAAAGTTCATGCAGTATATGGCATCAGTACAAGACAACAAAATACACACATGTGGAGGATTCCTTGTCAGTGAAGACTTTGTAATGACTGCTGCGCATTGTGCTGTTAAGTGAGTAACCACCAAAAGCGTGGCACATTCATCTAAATATAAATAATTATTTTGGTTCTCATTCATTATTCATGTAGGAAGCTTAAATCCTTAAGTGTTGTTCTGGGCACCCATGACCTCAAGAAGGCAAATAAGAAAATGAGATATGGAGTAAAAATGATGTGCAAACACCCTGCCTTCAAGGAAGTTGCAAATGGGAATGACATCATGCTCCTCAAAGTAAGTATTCATCTATTCAGCCTCAGCTTCACAAAGGATATCAGACGTTCTTATGAATCAATCAATAATAAAAATAGTTAATACAGGGAGAAAAGTATAAAATAAAAATAAATGAATAAATAAAAGAAACATAATTAAAAGAACAACAAAAAACCTAAACATTTTCTGGCACTTACGGCCAGCATTTATTGTCAAACCACATGATCAATCACCAATTACATGATTTTGTTTAAGCTTCAACCAATCAAAGCACATTTGATTGTAGTATTGTTGCTGTTGTTTTTACCTATAGGTAAAAACAACAGCAACAATAATTACTTCTTGTTCCACAACAAAACAAACATGCACCTTTTCTTAATTTGCTGTAACAATAATATACGTGTCACACATTATTAGATATATTAATACATCTAAATACACGGATGATAATAATAGTATTTTAGCCTTATGCAAGTCGCTACCCACATTTGTGCATACGCTATCATTGTTTGAGAGACATGCAAAGACAAATACTGGAGAACTTTAAATACACACAAATTTGACATCTTCATAACTGATATCAATTTTAATCATTTATTTTCTGAGGTTTTTGATTTTATCTTTCCAGCTGTCTAAGAAAGTTTCCCTGGGTGACAAAAAACCAATTAAGCTAATTCCACTTCCAATTCAAAAACTAAACCTGAAGGAAAACAAGATCTGCAGTGTAGCTGGATGGGGGCCCACAGAACCTCGTAAACATCGATCTGGTTATGTGAATGAGCTGCAAGTGCTAAATGTTCCCATCATTAACAAGGACGAGTGTCAGAAGGTGTGGGGACAAATTCCCAAAAATGTTATTTGCGCCGGTGGATACAAAGCGAAGAGTGGAATCTGTCAGGTCTTTTTTTTTTATGTATTCTTATCAAAATAGTTTAAACATCAAAATTATTGAAAAACAACAAATTAATAATTGATATTTCTTCCTCACAGGGTGATTCTGGTGGGCCTCTCGTATGTAACAAGTTGGCTGTTGGCATTGTTTCCTTTAACAACGGCAATGGCTGTAAATATCCAGATGTCCCAAACGTCTATACAGACATATCACAATTTCTTCCTTGGATCACAGATATTCTCAAGAAAAAAAAATGCAAAGGGTAAAAAATATTTTCCATGTTATTGCGGGTGTATTGTAAGACTGTTAGGCAAGTGATATGTGAGCTGTGTAAACTGCTTAAATTCTGCAATATCTAACATTAAAAGGCCTTTTTTAAAAAACTGCTAATGACTCTTTCAATGTCAAGCTTACAAATAGATCAGTGACATAGTAGGTTTGAAGTGCACAAGTTAGTATCATGTATGAAAAAAAGTCAAAGGAGGTTTTCCTGTGGTTCGTTGGTTGTATTACATAAACTAATGAGAACTAAGATCCACTGACAAGTCAGAAAGCTCATAAACAGTCATATCCAGGGCGATTTCATCTAATTTTACTAAAGCCTGCCCGATACTGGAAATATGGACAGGCACTTCACCAAGGCACAAACTCCTCAATCCATATCATGAGATAAAAATGCCATCAGAACAAATAAATTTTTAAAAAATGTATAGTTTTGTTTGACATCAGAATTATACGTGGCTATTGGGAGGTCAAGTGACTTCACAAAATTTTGATAATAAGGACTAATTTCCTGTATTTAGTAGACTTTTTGCACATTTTATTTTACATCAGTTTATAATGCGAATGCTGTTATTTATGAAAAAGAAACCAAAATCCAGACACCAGTTCAATTTCAAATAAAATATAATGTGTGAATGTGAATATGTGGATATAATGTGTCAATAGTGAGCCTCGTAGTAAACAAAAGTCATTTTGTATCCAAATAATCTTTTGGAGCCCAAAGTTCAGGCCTCAGATTCCTCCACGCACTTCATTTCAGATTATTTCTACCCTTGGAGGTTTATGATGTCATCGAGAGGAAACATCCCTTATATGGTCATCTCAGGTACACAACTCTGGCTGTCCATAACTAAATCATTTATTTTATCATTCCTGGATGCCACTTGGATGGATGTGAAATTATAGTCAGTGCCTTATTCTTTATTATGTTGTTTAAAAAGTAAGAGAACCATATAGTCACACAGCGCTTTATTTTATACACTTCGAGCACTTTATCTACTTCACATCTATGATCTAATACTGCTGTCTTTTTGACTCTGGGAGGAAAACCACGCAGGTACAGAGAGAACATGCAAACCTCACATATAAGGGTGTAAGGCAGGGTTGGAGCAAAGCCCCTTCTTGCTAACCCTTCACTCAAGCATATTGCCACCCTTAAATGGAACAGGTATGGCATTGTGTAATGAAGTTCAGCTCTAAGGTGTGAAACCTTCCTTAAACAGCTAATTTAAGTGACTTCCTAGATCGACCAGTTACCCATTGCTTGAAGAGATATCAGTGTAATGGAGGAAAACACAGTAATAATGGATGAAAACACTGAAAATTGAAACAGACATTTTATGGCACCACGATGGCATCAGTTTGCTCTTGCAGTGAGATTTTGGACAATTTAACTCCCATTTTCACCACTAGGGGGCAGTGTTTTACCAGAAAGTTTGAGTGATAAACAAGAAATGTGTGTATTTGGTCTGAGATCAGGGTGGTGAGAGGTTACAGAAGAGCTTACAGAAAGAGGTTTCTGGGTATAAACTGGGGCTTCTGTACTGTTTTGTGTTTTTACACAGCCCAGTGATAAACTGCAGGTGTAGATTGATTTCTTCCTCTTAACTAAAGACAGTTACAACAGCATGCATTTAATAAGAAGAAAATAGCTTGGGTGGATAGCTTTATAGCTTTCAAGGGCAATAAGATGACTGCTTCATTATTGTAAGATGACCACCGCCAAAATTAAGCACCTAGATTGTTTTTCTTTCACAGACAATTTACAACCTTTTATATAAAGGTACTGTTAACATCTTGTTAGTCTGCTGTTGCTAATAATTAGATAAATAATTATGACCTCCACACACTCTTTTGCTAATGAAAATATTTGCCATAAAATTCAAAATGACATTTTCTTTTTCTCAAACTGGTGCATTTTCTCAGTTGAAACATTTTGTATATTTTTGTGCTCTATTGTGAATAAAATATGGGTAAAATATGAGGTCCTCTCTGCTTGGCTTTCTGCTTTTTCTGATTATGTACAGCTGTGGTTGTACATCACATATCTGCATTACAGAACAATGCTTTTTTGTTTTGGGTTTTTTGGTGCAACTGCACATGTAGTAGCATGCATAAAAACCTAGAGAAGGAGACCTAACATGGATTAAAATTAATTAAAACAATGCAGTAAAAGTATCACAGAACAGAAAATCATATAAATGGAGAATTAGAGATATAGATATAGATAATAGTTTAAGTATCTGTCAGTTGCATCACATTTACTATATTACTATGGTAAATAACATACTGATAGACTGAGAACTGTACAATAAATATATAAAATAATAGATAGGTTGTTTTTTTTCAGGCTTCCAAAATCTGTCTTCTTTGTGCATATCGTGCGGAAAATTTTCTGGAAAATCTCTGATTCACAAATTTCATTTTGCCTCTTTTAATATTTCTTTCCCATTTAACAAACAACCACACTAACATCTTCACACCACACACATACAAACACACACACACTGCTGGCAGTCAGGAATTAAGAAATTACTTGCACATGCCACCATAACACATGCAAAAGCAAAGGTGGTAAAACCTGAAGACTGACGCTGTGGTTTCTCTTAGTCATCTAGTTGTAGCAGCGTAAAAGGGAACCAAAGACAAGTGGAGCAAAAAGAAAAACAACAGCTTTGATCTAACAACTTTTGCTGAACTCATCACATTCTTGTCAGATAATGCTATGAAAGTGTTTCAAGCTTTGCAGACCATGGTATAAGACACCTTATCTTATATCACGCAATCATCACCATGCTCTTCCTGTCTGAAGCAGTTCATCCAGGTCACCAAACAAACAAAGTATTTCCAGAATGTTTGTCTTGGCCCATCATGTCAGAGGCCCATAATAAAGGGTTTATAATGTGAGGTGTGTAAAACTTCATTAACCAGAACATCAAATGAATGTTTCTCTGACAGATTACTAGAAATCTAGGACATAGTTGGAGTGGTGACATCCATGTAGAGCGCTTTCTCTCACAATGTCACCAATATCACCTGGCTGAGAGTGAGAGTGCTACACCATGTAAATAATGCCATCATTCACCCCCTACAAGAGCCTGGTAAGCAAACTGAAGGGGGTCAAGAGCATGTTTCACTTGTGAACTGATGAGAGCCAATCTCTCCAGTGGCTTTGTGACATGTGAGGTCAACACAAAGTCACTCTGAAGTCACTAAAGTCAGAAGAGGTGGCTCTCTTTCATACTAGCACCAACTACTGGAGTGAAAAATGTTAAATCTTTAAATTTACTTAGGACATAACATAACATACAAACATGTAAATATATTAAGGTGTCCCCCCTTACTACTATTTAGCAGTAAGCTTATATTTTTATATTTCACTTTCATCACTGTGATATTGAGAACATTGATGTTCTACATGAAATTTGTTATCTGTGGTTTCTGTGGTTCAGTTATACTTCGTCACAGTGAATGTAAAGTTTTTCAGTGAGCTTTGAGCTACATAAAAAAAATAGCTGTGTGTCCTTTGTGTTATTCATTTATGAATTGTTGGTCAGCAGTATCCAAAAGGGTATAAGGTTTCGAAAACAGTGTTCAAAGGCTGAGATTAAAAAAATAGAACTGCAGCTGTACCGCTCTTGTATCCGTGGGTTTAAAACTGTCACCATCTAATCTGATATCTAAGTTTGCCTGGAAAAGAGGGCACGAAAAGCTTGTCTTACAAGAAGTGATACTACAGGTGTAGTCACCTCAGAATAGCTTCACTGTGATTGCAGTGCAAGTGTGCATTAAAAAAAAGATATCTTTCCATTCGACATTCATGCCCGTAAGTTCAGAATCTTTGCAATGCCAGAACTTACATCATTGTAACAGTAATGTGATTACTGAATTTAGTGAATTACGGAATTTAATATAATAGCACGCTGCATGCCAAATACGCTTGGGCAAGATACTAGGCCCAAGTTACTCTCAGATGTATTCAGAGTGTAAACAGCACTTGAGCATAGAAAAGAAAGTGCCTGCATGAATGAATGGGTGAATGAGGTATGTTGTTTAAAGTGCTGTGAGTGCTCAAGTAGAGGAAAAAAGTGAGTCCAGGTACTATTCAACATTTACATTAGTGCGTTGCTTAAAAACGTTATGTGATTAACCGTAACTTACTTTGGGGAACACATTACATTCAGCAATATCAATGACATATAAACCACTCATAAAACACTTACTTACTGAAGAGAAGCAGGTCTACGGTAGCCTAGTAAGAACAAAGTAAGGCAAGAAAAGGAAAGAAAGTAATTCAGAGAGAACAACCAATCGATCATTATGACAGAATTTGGTTTTTATAAAAGAATTAAAATGTCCCCATATGGAAAAGAAATAGTAAAAACTTATATGATTTACTCATGAAAGTGGCCACTTTCTCATTACTTTCATATATTGTTTTAGTAAGTATCCAAAACATAAATTTTTGTATTTCATTATATAATTTTTTCAAGGGATCTTATATGTGTTCTCACTCATGTATGCTTTTCATACAAGTTTCACACAAGACAGATACAAACTTTATAAGATTTATATATATCTTTTCCATATGGGTCTGTTTTTACTGATAAAATCAATCTGACTTGATTAGTGATTATAGAAGAAGAGGAGGTCTAAAAAGACACAGAATGAATCAAATCAGGGGGCAGAAGGTGACGTAAAGAACAATTCATAATGAAGGAGTCCGTGAGACAGTGATAAGGTAAAACTCATAAAATAACCAGTGTGGTTAAGACTGATGAGGTACTGTGCAGTTATGATAAGCACGACAACACCAAGGCTCCAAATGAAGGGCACACATACACCGAATGAAGGATGTGGTTATAAGTCAAAATAAGAACGATGATAATCATACTTGACAACACTGCAAACTGCTGTATAAAAGGGTCTCCTTGACACCCCCGGAGGCTGTTTCAGTGGCAACATGGAAAGTCTGCATGCATTTCTGCTGGTCTATGTTCTGACATGTCTGGGACAACTAGGTAAGAATGGCATTAATATTATTCTCCGCCCATTTATCAGTGTGTCATTTGAGAATTATAAGAGCGTGTTAATGTGACATTTA